TCCCGAGCCGCCGCGCCCATGCCCCCTCCCCCCGGGGCTGCCGGGCCCACCCCTCGCGTTATTTCTTAAGACAGGACCTCTGGGCCGTGCCACACCAAACCCGGCCGCGTTAACGAGCACCCGGGGCTGGAGGGGTATCATCCCTAGTCTGTTCCGCGCTGGGGGTCCAGAAACTCCTACTGTCCCTGCAGCCAACCCTCTGCCCAGAGCGGTGCGGAGTCCCCTCCCAGATATTCCGATATCACTGCCCCCAACCCCCTCCCACGCCACTTTCTCCAGTGCACCTTTTCCTTTTCCAGCGCCCGCTCCCTTTTCAGGGCCACCTTCTGCCATTCGCACTTATCCTCTGCTCCCCCAACCCCCATGCCCAGGGACCCCTCTGCATCGTCAGTATAATCAGTGACCTGATTTTCCCACCTCTAACACATACAGACCCGCACACCCACACGCAAACACCACACCAACCTCAACTGGGATTTGGAGGGGGATGCGTGTCTGGGGGGAGGGTAGTGGATGGGGTAGAGGCACAGGTCTGTAGGCCCCTCAAGATTCACTCTTTCTAAATCCAGAACTTTGGAAAAGCTGAGAAACAGTTGGAGATGGTAAGAAAAAAAAGCCCCAAACAGCCTTACATCCTGAGTGAATCCTATTGTCCCCAGAGGCAAATGCCAAGCCTTGCTGAGTCCCACATCCGCCACTGGCTGAGGAGGAAGGGGGTGGGCATGCTGAGGAGTGGTCTGCCCTTCCGGCACCTCCACGGGAGGGGGAATGATTCCCCTGCTTTTGGTTGGCCAGTAAATTGGGGGGAGGGGAGAATCAGGGCCCCTGTAGCAGCCCTCAGTGCTGGAGGATAATCCGTCTGCTGGTGAGGTTTGAAGACACAAAGTCCAATCCAACGCCCACACCCCCCACACCCCAACTACCCAAGAAACCTGTCCCCTGGAGAAGCCATGGACACTAATTAACAATTAGCAGGGGGCGCCTTGGTGGCTCAATCGGTAAGCGCCTGCCTTCAGCTCAGGTCATA